ACGTGGGAGGATGGGAGGGCAAGGGAATGGGGGGATGGATATGTAAATAATTAAAGAATTTAAATAAAAAATATACACACAAAATTTAAATAAATAAATAAATAAATAAATAAATAAATAAAGAGAAAAAAATGAGTCAAGAGTGAATTTTGTCTGTGTGACTGTATGGTCCATTTGTGTGACTGGTGAAATACCTATGTCTTCAGGGGGCACTCTTTAAGGAAATCATATCAGCTCACAGTTCTGAAGGGTCAAGAGGAAGGGTTTTCATTTGCTGACAGTGGTGGGAACAGTGACAGGAAGTGGCTGGTCTTGCTGTTTGTATAACAACCCTGGTCAGAACTGATCTCTCTGTAAGACCCAATTCACTACCTGATTCAAGCCTTAAGCCCTTGTCCATTAATCCCCCCATGACTTAGGTCTTTCCCACCAGGACTGTTCCCTGGACATTTCCACTACCTCAACTCTGTCATCCTAGAGACAAGCTTCTAGAATATGAATCCTAGAAGAAAAGCTATACCAAGCCTTAGCTCCCTGGTTCAGAGAATTTGCAATTATATACCCCAGACATCTGAGAACAGGAAGAGGGAATTTCAAAGGTCTTATTTTTCTTTCTCTATTTTCCTGGGCCAGGGATACAAGAAAACCTTGGGGGTGTTGTTGTGACACAGCGTGTCTCAGCCTTAATCCATGAGGTCCAGCCTGAATGGGGGTGTGTGGACCTGGAAGCTCCTAGCAACCCAGCGGTGATAAAGACCAAATACAGGCATTTTGTCATCTTTAGAGAGCTCTCAGTTCCATGTTGTAGAACTAGAGTCATTTCTTTATTAGCCATCTTTTCTGGTGTTTCTTAACTGTTCTGTCATGACAACGAGGGAACCATCTCTCTTTTCTCCCTGCTCTGGTCGCTGGCCCATAACTCCTAACCTAGTCACTCATACACTTCTCACCTCTACCCAGGTGAGGGCCTATTCAGCTGCTTAGGCACACAGAGATGCAAATAGGAGGCATATTACCCTGGTAAACAATAGTAGCCTTACTGGCATTAACAATACAATAGTGGACCAGAGCTTTCTGGTGCTCCATGTTTAGTGAAACCAAAGGCTGGATCTCAAAATATTCCATAGCAGAAATATTTTTGTCCCCCACAGAGTGTCTGTCAGCATCGGAAGACACTAGAATTGCCCACTAAAGACTCAGTTGAGAGACAGGACTGCAGCAGATCTAATCTGTTCTGTTATTTGATGGGGAAAGTACTTCTGCGTATGTTTATCTTATTGATTGTTGAATAAAATACTGTTTGGCAAATGAGACAGCAAGTTGGATGGAACTAGGAGTCAAAGAGGATTCTGGGAGATGTAGTAGAGAAGTGGTGGTCCAGGCAGGAAGTTACATAGCAAGGAGACTCATATTTGAGCGAGAAGAAAGGGGAAGTTGCCTTTTTCCCCCCTCTGCTCCTGCTCCAGCGGCACAATGTGATTCACTGGCAAGGAGGGACGCAAATAAGGAGTCTGATAAGTCTTATAAAATATATAGATTTATGATAATTGAGACTGAGCTAACAGATGAGGAATCCTAGTCATTGGCCAAGCAGCTTTGAACCTAATACAAGTTTCTGGGTATTTATTTGGGCCTAACTCGGGCAGGCAGCTAGCGTAAAGCTCACACATGGCGGTGGGGCTCAGCGGCTTTTGGCGGAAAGATTTATCGTAACAGTTATTAGGAATTTAGATTAAGCCAAGGGCAAGCAGGTCTCCTGAGCTTGTCAAAATCCTGCCGTGTCTGGGCTTTTTGGTGAAGAACAGTCTAGAGTAGTGCAAGAGCAGTGTGCTGCAGCCTGACTTTGGGAGCCTGAGCAACACTGTGATTGTCCTGAGCTGTGGTTCACTCACCCATGCAATGCACAAGGAAGTCCCCCAGTGTTCACACTGGAAGAGGCTCCTTCTTCTCACTTTTTGGATATGAATGCCCAGTTGGTGCTTGATGCCAGCTCTGGGAAAGGTTCTAAGGGGCAGTCAGCTAAAGGCCCTGAGCACCACTGTGTCACAGTCTTACCCACACCTTCTGTGGCTGTGCATGGCACCTGTGTTCTCCAAAAGGCATCTCTGCCCATGGGAAGTTAGTACAAGACCTTCGTGTGTCTCCCTGACTATAAAAGGACTCCTCTTAGGAGATCCAAGAAGAGACAGCAACAGAGAGATGGTTAAGGGGGAGAAGTTAGAAATGTATTCAGAAAGTTTAAAATATACTATGAAGATGATATATATTTTTGTAAGGCATTTTCTTTCCCCTTAAGAAACATAACTTTTAATGCTATATTCTGTTATCATATTTAAACTAAGTTATTTTAAGTGATTATATAGTTACCAATGTTATAATTTATTTCAGAAACCCTCTAATGTTTAATGTCACTCTGCTCCTTGTATGTGTTCTGCTATCTAAAGGGAAAAGGATGCTGTGGAGAAGGTTCCCAAGGGTCTCTCCTAAGGGGACTCAGTGCCTTCTTTGCACAGTGGCTGTGAAGAGCATGCATGTCACAGGCTTTTTAGTGTTCTAGCTTCCAGTTTTGGCACCTGGGCTTTGAAGAGGTCATGTGACAGTCAGAACAAAGTATGATGCTGGGAGGATGCTTCAAAGCCCACACTATGCTCCCTGCTTTGTGATTTTGATACATCCACTTAATTATCTTTCTTCTGTAGAGTGGACACACTCTAGTAACTAGTACATATTAGCATTGTTATTTGGAAATATGAAGGCCATGGGAATAATGTTTTCATAAATATCAAACATTGTTTCTTGTCTGTGTGGGATAAGTATATTCTAGGTTTGGCAGGTTGGTGAACAAATGTCAAACATCCAGCTGCATCAGGAAGAGAGCCGAGAAAACAGTTACTTATGCTCAGACAGCATTTTTTTTTCAGATTTTTTATTTGAATTAGAACAAGATTGTTTTACATGACAATCCCAGTTCCCTTCTCCCTCCTGTCCTCTCCTACCACCCCCCAACTAAAACCCTACCTGTCACATACCCTTTCTTCTATTCTTCCCCTGACTCAACCTTTCTGCTCCCTCATGACCTCTACATCCTTCCTCTTCTCCCCTTCTCATTCTCATAGATTCCTCTCTCCTCTTCCCATGCTCTCAATTTGCTCAGGGGATTGTGACCCTTTCCCCTTCTCCAGGGGACAAAGTTTGTCTCTTTTAGGGTCTTCCTTGTTTACTAGCTTCTCTGGTTTGCAAATTTCAATTTTTTTTTTCTGCTGAGTAGTACTCCATTGTGTAAATGTACCACATTTTCTGTATCCATTCTTCAGTTGAGGGGCATCTAGGCTGATTCCAGTTTCTGGCTATTACAATTAGTGCTGCTATGAACATCGTTGAACAGATGTCCTTGTATGAATGTGCTTCTTTTGGGTATATGCCTAAGAGTGGAATTGCTGGATTTTGTGGTAGACTGATGCCCATTTTCTTGAGGAGTCACCATACTGATTTACAAAGTGGCTGTACAAGTTGGCACTTCCACCAGCAGTGGAGAAGTGTTCCCCTTTCTCCACATCCTCTCCCGCATAAACTGTCAGACAGCATTTTAATGGAGAAGGTTCTGGCTGTTTGCAGAGGAGATAAAAAGCTGTGGCAGTGTGAGTTAGTGGACAGGATACATGTGGGAGATGGAGAACGAGGCAGAGTACCCAGGAAGCATGGAAGATGAAGAGGCCAAATCAAAGCACTTCCACCCCCCCCCATGAGACCCTATAGGCTCCTTCTTGATGATTAATTTGCTTCATCAATTCCCAGGTTCCATTTGGTGGAGACAGCAGAGAGCAATAGCGGCCTGTTTAATATTTACAGACATCATCCATCCCCTGGTGCCTTTAATCCTTTTGGGGGGTAATGCAACTTTTTCTGTTATTTTTCATGGAAAGCTGAAAAAATTGAACTCAATTATGCCATCCTGTATGGAGGAAAGACAACGGTATCTTACAGACAGCAATCATTTTGTCCCATTACTACTTGGCAGCAATCCTTTTTGAGAACAGGTATTTATATTTGCCTAATCAGGGAGACAGAATTGCTGTGCATTGACTGATGTGTTAAAATTACTGCAATTTCTGCTTCTTCTGTGCAGATGCCTGAGTCCAGGATGAGGCCAGCTTTAGTGACAGTTTTGCTACATGAGCTATATTCTACAGTGTGGACAAACAGATAAGGCATGCTTCTGCATCAGAAAGGTGCACCTCCAATTCTGCTTATATCACCTAGCAATGTGCAGCCTTGGGTGAGCTGAGTGTGAGTTCCTCAAGTCTAAATGGATGGTGATGTTTGTTAAAGGGATGGTGCTATCTGCTAAAGGGAGGGTGGTGTCTGTAGGTCCTACAAATCTGTTGCAAAGATTAAGTACATACATCTCTAAAGTCCACAGCACAGAGATGGGAAAACTGTTCTTGCTCAACCAATATTAATGCTCCATCTCCCCCCTCTTTCCAGGCTGTCTCCTCTCCCTTCTAATCACCTTCATTCTCAAGATCCTTGGGCCACCAGACACAACTGGGGGACAGCAGACTCCAGGCCAGTGGGTGCTGCTCCAT